TTTGAAAGATTGTAGAGAATTGAGAAAATGTTTCCCTTAAATGTTTGATAGATTTCACCAATGAATTCATCTGGACCTAATGTTTTCTATTTTGGAAGGTTATCAATTATTGATTCAATATCTTTACTGGATGTAGGCCTATTCAGATTGTCTTATTTTTTCTTGTATGTATTTTGGAAAATTGCTTTTTCACTTCATTTAGGTTGTCAAATTTGCGGGTATAATATTACTTTACTATCTTTTTAATGTTCATGTAATCTAAAATGATATCTCATATTTCATTTCTGATATTAATAATTGGTACTTTCTCTTTTTCCATAATTATCCTGACTAGGCTTATTTTATTCATCTTTACAAAGAACCAGCTTTTGGTTTTGTTGATATTTTATAATGATTTCCTGTTTTCAGTTTCATTGATTTCTTATTATTTATTTTCTTCAGCTCATTTTGAATTTACTTTGCTTTTCTTTTTTCTAGTTTCCTATGGTAAAAACTTAGATATTGATTTTAGATTTTTCTTTTCTAGTATATGCATTCAAAGCTATAAATTTTTACGCACTATTTTTGCTGTATCCCACAATTTGTGTTTCCATTTTCATTTAGCTAAAATATTTTTAAATTTCTTTTGAGATATTTTCTTTGATGCATATGTTATTTACAAGTGTATTATTTAATATCCATGTATTTTGGGATTTTTTTATCTTTCTATTTTTTCTAGTTTAATTTTATTGTAGTCTGAGAAAAGATATTGTAGAACATCTATTCTTTTAAATTTGTTCAGGTGTATTGTATAGCCCAGAGTGTGGTCTATCTAGGTAAATGTTCCATGTGAGCTGGAGAAGAATGTGCATTCCTCTGTTGCTGGATGAAGTAGTCTATAGTGTCAATTATGTCCAGTTGATTGATGGTGTTGTTGGATTCAACTGTGTTCTTACTGATTTACTGCTCGCTGGATTTGTCCATTTCAGATAGAGGGGTGTTGAAGTCTCCAACGGTGATCATAGATTCATCTCTTTCTCCTTGCACTGCTATTATTTTTTGCCTCATGTAATTTGATGTTGTGTTCTTAGGCGCATATCTATCATTTATAATTTTTTTCTTTCTCTTTATTTCTTCATTCTTTTCTTCCATCCTTCCCCTGTTCCTTCCTTCCTTGCTCTTTTTTGTGATATTTTAAAGTAAATCTCTGCCATCATGTCATTGCACACCTTTTTCTAAAAAAATACCTAAATAACTACATTATTTTAGCATATGATATTCTATCTATCCCATATTCCATTTTCCTGAACAACTTATTTGAATCCGAATGTGAACAAAGTGTTTGATTTTCATACATTTCTTAAGTTTCATTTAAAGAGAAATTCTACTCCTCCCTTATCCCCTGACACCGAGCTATTGACTAATGAAAAAAATTGGATCATCATCCTGAAGAGTGTTCTACATTACTATTATTTATTATTATTTTTGCATATATTAGCTATGATTCTTTTATAAAGTCGAGTTATCTTTAATCAGCTGTTTGATTATCCGAATACATAGCCTTTATAAGAAAGCCAGGATACATACTTAATTCTTTCCCTTTTACATTTTTATAATAATTCTCAGAATGATGAATCTTGCATCCAACAAAGATAACCAAAGTTTTGTGTGACTATTAGTATAAACTCATGGATTTTTAGATATTACTTTTGTTTCAATCTACTTCTGTCATTATTCTTTTTGAGCTCAATTTATCCCATGCAGATGGTAGTCTTTAAAGGCACAAAAAGAAAACCTGGATTCATCTTGTTCACTTCCTATCCAAGACCTTAAATCAACAATTTCTGCAATAAATTTCCTTTTAACGGTGAATGAATTTGGAGCCAAAAATCTGTGCATTATTTAATCATTACTTCTATTATTTGTCTATTAAGACTGTTCAATGTTCTTCTAGACCTTTGCAGTTAACAAAGCTAAATAATAGGTCATTTTTAAGAAAAATGTCAAACTACGAATTCGTACTGATATTTCATACTGATAAGTCAAAGATTACAGATTTTATTTAACTAAAAAAATTTGTATATATATTTTTTCTCTTATCCCCAAAATGTACTTTTTAAATACCTTTAACATTCATATTTATTTATTGGCTAGTTTAAAAATAATTCAACTAGTTGCGCTACTCACAAGAAGACCAATGAATGTAGTTTAAGATTTTATACTTTTGATGTGTGTGTTGTTCTTGATAGGTATGCCTCATTAGGATGTACTGTTAACCTAGTGACTGGAAATATTTATCTATGAAGTTAAATCCTTCTATAAAAAAGCTTTAGCTTATTAACCAACAGTTGATATAGTTAGTTACCTTATTTCCCACTTATTTTTTTGGAGGTTGCTTTGTATTTTTATTTTTGTTTTATTTTTAACTTAATGTAAAACATTTTTGTACTTCCAAGGTCAAAACTAAGAAATAAATACATTGTGAAAGAGCTTGCTTGCATATTTGTCCCCATGTCCTATTCTCTCTTATCTTAGTAGGTAACAATTTTCATTAGTCTTTAGTTTATTCTTCCATTATATCTTTTAGCGAATATTAGCAAATATGTGTGTATTTTCCCCACTTCTTACACAAAAGTGAGCATATATTTACCTTGTATAGTCTATACCTTATATATTCACATCAAATTGCATATTTTTGCTAGTCTTTCTTAGAAATAGATTCCTAGACCCAGGATTGCCAGGTCAAATGGTAAATCTATAAAAATTTTTACTATTTATTGCTAAATTCCCTTCATTAGTTATATCCTTTTGTTCTTGAGAAGATTTTGAAAATACAGGTTCCCTAGTCTCTGAGCTACTGAGTCAGAGCTCCAAGATTTGGGTGATGACTCAGGTCTGGGAAGTCTGGTCTAAAGGAAATGTTTTAGGCCAACCTTAATTTAAATCCAATTAATTGCTAACTTGATATGTGCTGGACACTGGTGAGAGAAATCCTAAAATGATTGGAGGATCTCATAGACTAGTGAAGCGGAAACATTCATAAACAAATCATCGTAACATCTTGTGATTGCTGGTATAATAGACATGTACATACAGTGCTAAGGGAGAACAAAGGAGTGAATGGCTGCCCAGGAGAATTGTACTTGGGATATACTGTTCCTGATAGAAGCAGAAGTACACATTTACCAAACTCTTTACAAACCTCATTTAATAAAGTCTCCTTCCTGAGAAGAAATACATCGTGAGTCTAACTATGAACTTATCCCACTTGTACTGCTTTTTTGCTTAGTTTATTCTTTGAGGTAGCTTCCAACTGTCAAGCTGAAACTACCATGGACATCTGTGGATAATGATATTTTCAGTGTGAAAACATTACCATAATTGTGAGTATACTGTGTTTTACATGACATAAATAATGCCATTCATATAGTTGACAGGAGAGAAGATAAAAGTCAATAAAAAGAGAATTATTTATTAAAAAGATCTAATGTTACAAGAACAGTACACAGAATTATTATCTGACTGTGCCTTCCACATGGTATATAACCTTATATATAGTACATATATACAGACTGTATACAATATATTTGACGGTTTGACATGGGGTCCACAATACCTTCATACAGGTATGGAAAACATTCACTTTCATGGAATTTTTGATTATGAGGAGTGTTTTTTTTTCCTTCATAGTTCAATTGACATTATACAAAAATACAGTCTCTTTAGTGATTTAAGACTGTGTGGTTATTATTCCATCCAACAAAAAGCTCACTCAGTATTGCAGCTGGAAAATAATGTACCTTGATAAGGAACATTGTTTTGTTTTCTTCAAAGCAACAAGTATGCAATATATAAGTACATAAACATTTCAAACCTATTTTTAAGTAGGTTTATGATGCAAAATACATATTCTGCGCATGTCGAGTAAAAACATCCCATATCTTTGATTCCTCTAAGAATACAACATCAGAATTCTATATTTAAATATTCTGTCAGATATGTACCATCCATCAGCTAGGTGAAAATATTGGTTAATTTGAATTTGCCATATACTGACATTATAATTTGTGGTGGGGGTTGTTTTATAAGAGTTCTAGTAATAACCTGATTTTTAAAGTCTGTCACTAAATCTTATATAAAACACCATGGAAAATGAAGAAAATGGTTTAATTAATCAAATATAAAGTAAAAATTATTGCCCATTTTTAAATATTCTTGCTGCATTCTTTTCAGATGCACATTTTGCTCCTACAAGCCATACTATGCTCAGGAAAGCTCATATTTTGCCTGCCTAATAGCATCCCTCTCTGCAAAGTCCAGCCTCTCCCAATACAAAGGAGGTGCTCAAAGAAGGCCATTTGGTCATTATTATTCACTGGCTTCAATATTCACCATCTGTACTAATTTATTAGAATAATCCATAAACTAAAATAGTCTTTTAAGTCACTACTTATTTGTTTAGGGTTTTTTTGGACATAATTCCCTCAAAACAGGAGTAACCAACATAAATAGTTGTTCTGTGGCTCTGAAATTAATCTTTTAGGTATGCAGAACAGAAATTCCAATCTCTCCTCTGATTCTACAAGAATTAACCTCTAGAGCCACCAGTTTGAGCTCAATGTTGCTTCATATGGCTTCCTGTTAAAGATGTAAATAGAATGAAAGTTATAAAATAAATTGCTTTTTATTCTCATACTAGAGGCCCCATGCACAAAATTTGTGCATGGAGGGCAGGAGATGGGGAGCGGGCGGGGGGGAGTCCCTCAGCCCAGCCTGCATCCTCTTGCAATCTGGGACCCCTCAGGGGATGTCCGACTGCCAGTTTAGGCCCAATCCCAACTGGCAGTTGGATATCCCTCTTGCAATCCGGGACCGCTGGCTCCTAACAGCTTGCCTGCCTACCTGCCTAAACACCCCTAACCACTCTGCCTGCCTGCCCGATTGCCCCTAACTGCCTCTGCCTGCCTTCCTTATTGCCCCTAACCACTCTGCCTACCTGCCTGATGCCCCTAACTGCCCACCTGCCTCCCTGATCACCCCTAACCGCCTCAGCGTTGGCCCCCACACCCGGGACTTGGGCTTCCCTCCCTCTGGCTGGAAGCAGGCACCTGGGACCCGGGCTTCCCTCCCTCTGGCTGGAAGCAGGCACCTGGGACACGGGCTTCCCTCCCTCTGGCCTGCCACAGGCACCCAGGACCATGGCCGGCTTTGCCCGGCCCAGGTCGCAGGCACCCGGGACCGTGATCGTGGGTGGCTTCCCTGCCTCCAGGGTGGCTTCCCCAGGGCCGGGCCCCAGTTTTATCCGGAAGGATGTCGGATGTCCAGAAGATGTCTGGTCAATCTGGTCTAATTACCATATTACCCTTTTATTAGTATAGATTAACATCACCTGTTAACATGCAGGCTGTTTATTGGTGTATGACTTTGCAAAAAATTTCTCTTCAGGCATCTTTTTGGGTGTGATGCAAACTCTGACAAGTTCTCATGTTGGTTAGAACTTTTGTAAAAATATCACCAAGCAGAAAACGTTCACCTCACTTTCTAACAACTATCTAGGATCAAATGGGTCTTGGTTGATGCCTCCAAATAGCAAATGGGGCTCACTTTGTACTGTGGCCATGTTTCCACAGTTTAATTTAAAAAATCAGTTTATCCTAGAGATCCTTTTTACTTAACAGTTGGTAATAATTTATAAGTGGTATGTGATGCACAGAACTGTTTAAAGATCAAAATTTATTTGTTATGCTTGAACCATTTTAATTTACAGACTATATGTATGCATAATTATTTGCATGACAATTTTTCATTGTCTTTAAAATTATTTTCAATTAGAAGAAAACCTTGGATCTCATTCCACCTCTGTTTTGGCAGTAGGTGTGGAAACAGGAAGCTGTGTCTGTTGTAATTTCATTTACAAGTTAGCACCCTTCACAATAAGTCAGTGTCTGCAGTTCTTAGTAACCATATTTTTTGTGACTTTAAACTCTTTTGTTATTAAAAATAAACATTTAATATATTTGCAGCTAGATAACATAGAACTTGATGAGAAACAACATCATTTAAATTCATTTGGACTCACTGTCTATTTATCTTGCACTAATATAAATGGCTTATTCCCTACCCTAATAACTTGCTCTAGGGATGCATATAGAATAGCATATTGACAAATTTTGCTATTTCACTATGCAGTCATACAATATTTTTCCAGAAAATTTTTGTATACTTATCCTATAATGGCCCACACAACTGAAGTATTTTTCATATCTCCTGTCATGTTGTCAATTGAAATATAAGCCAAAGGGAAAAGGAAAAACAGTAGATTCAGAGTCTTAACCAAAGTTTTCATTCTCAGTTTTGGATTTGTGTTTGAAACAGATCTGCTAGAAACCACTTACTTAACAAATGGATGGCACACATGTAGGGTTATCAGATATAAAATCAAATTCCCACATATTAAAAAATTAAAGAATACATTAGACAGAAATTACCATTGCTTTAAAAAATCATTACATACAACCTGCATATTTTTATTGGACCAAGAACTGTCCTCTCCATTGACAAAAAACAAAGAAAAACCTGATGGATAAGTAATATTTCCCCCAACTTCCTATAAGTGCATCATGTATAATCCCAAGTTTTTAAAGCTCATTCCAGTGTCCTGGGTCTCCACTTATAGTACACTCTTCGTCACTATTATCAGAGTAAAGCAAATTAAGTCTGCGGTTTTCACCAAGAGGTTGAAGGAATCATCAATGCCAAGAGCAACGTTACTGATGATGAAGATGTGGAGAGAGTATGGAGGGTTGACTGAGCACTAGTGATTTTTCCACCTGTGAAAAGAGAGAAGCAGTAATGGAGCAAATTATTTTGATTTTACTTGAGCTAGGAAAGAATTGTGTTTAGATGTGTAAGACAAGTGAATGCAACATTGGTCCTGTTTCTGATGAGAGTGTTCCTAGTATTTATGAAACGAGACACTGTCTGCGGTTCCCATAAGTTTTATGGAGGGCAGAAGTATATATGGAATACCGTATTAAAAAGGCAATGCCATGTCTAACAAACACATCTAATTAGAAGATTCAGGGTAAGTTTTACCAATGATGTAATAATGGAAAACATCCCACGTTACAAATATAAAAAACAAAAGAATTTCTATAGTACACAGTTGAGGGCATGGAGCAAAAACAATTTGTAAAAGTTTGTGGCAATAGAAATGTATAATTTAATTACTTTAGCCAATTTTTCAATTTAATAATAATAGCACATTATTTCATTTATTTAAAGGTTCTTGATTGATTTGAGTTTCAGTTGAGTAGATTCTCATACCAAAGTTGCCAAAGGAGAGTTATATTTCATCACTCTTACTTTCAACCAGAAGTTCTTCCTTCTTGAGACCAAAAACACCATATGCAGTTAAAGTATAAGGTGATTGTCTGATTGAACTGACTGATCTGAATGGATTAGTTTGAAGTAGTTCTGATAGCACTACATAATCATAAACTAAGTGCTACTCTTAGATCTAACTTCAGAAATGGTTCTTCAAGCCAGAAGTCTTCTGAAGTATCATCATCATAATTTATATTTAATGAATGCATACTGCATGCCATGCACTGTACTATACATATTATCTTTTCTCTTTTTCTTAATCCTCACCCAAGGATATTTTTTCCATTGATATTTTTAGAGAGAGAAGGAGGGAGGGAGAGGGAGGGGGAGAGAGAAACATTGTAGTGAGAGAAGTACATTGATTGATTACCTCTCCCACGTGCCCCAACAGGCACTGGGGATATACTTGTCCTTCGTCAGGAATGGAACCAGCGGCTCTTCAGTGGGCATTCTAACCACTGAGCCAAACAGGCAAACGCTTATATATATTATCTGATTTGATCCTCACAACATTCCTATTCAACAAGTAATATTATTTACCCCCCTGTTGCCAAGGAGGGAACTGGACTTAGAAAGATTATAGAACTTGCTTAAAGCTCTCTGTGAAAAATCAATAAAATATACTTTAAAAATTCATATGCAATACTTCTGGTCTTAATCCAAATCCTATGTAATAAAAGAGAAACATGCAAATTAACCATTCCTCTGCTATGCTCAAACCATGCCCACCAGCCATGCCCACCAGCCAATCAGGAGCAAGTATGCAAATTAAACCAGCTAAGATGGCAGTGGCCATGGAGCTGGAACGAGCAGGAGGCTTTGGTTGCTCTGGTGTTGGAGGACCCCAAGCTTCCCGCCTACCCTGGGCTCCGCTCAAGGCTACAAAGTTTCAATTATAGAAGATAAATAAATCCCAGAAAAAGAAAAAAAGAAAAAAAGGAGAGGCTGGCAGCTTGGGTTGCTGGGGGGCGTGGCCAGCCTGAAAACGGCCATCAGCCCCTCATCCAGTCTGGCCAGGCACCCCAGCAGGACTCCCCCATCCTGAAAGGGCTGTAGGCAGCCTGAAAATGGCCCTCAGCCCCTCACCCAGGCTGGCCAGGCACCCCAGCGGGACCCCGACCCTGATCTGGGACATCCTTCAGGGCAAACCAGCCGGCCCCCACCTGTGTACCAGGCCTCTATCCTATATAATAAAAGGGTAATATGCAAATTGACCCTAACAGCAGAATCACTGGGAATGACTGGTCACTATGACACACACTGACCAACAGGGGGCAGACACTCAATGCAGGAGCTGCCTCCTGGTGGTCAGTGTGCTCCCACAGGGGGAGCTCTGCTCAGCCACAACCCAGGCTGATGGCTGCCAGCACAGTGGTGGTGGCAGGAGCCTCTCCCACCTCCTCAGCAGCACTAAGGATGTCCAACTGCAGCTTCAGCCTGCTCCCTGCTGGCAAGTGGACATCCCCCAAGAGCTCCCGGGCTACCAGAGGGATGTCTGACTACCAGCTTAGGCCTGATCCCCTGGGGAGTGGGCCTAAGCCAGCAGGTGGACATCCCCTGAGGGGTCCCAGACTACGAGAGGGCACAGGCAGGGCTGAGGGACTCCCCCGAGTGCACAAATTTTTGTGCATCAGGCCTCTAGTAAATAAATATTTGGAATGTAATAGAGCCACAAGCGGAGTCCTACAGGCTATCACTTGATTCTTCTCTCTAGGTTGACAGTTCTGCTTGAAAATGATTGCTCAATAAATAATGCTTATAATTATACATTAATTAAATGTTCATTAAACTTTTTAATGTACTTTTATTGATTTCAGAGAGAGGAAGGGAGAGGGAGAGATAGAAACATCAATGATGAGAGAGAATCATTGATTGGCTGCCTCCTGCATGCCCCCCACTTGGGATCGAGCCCATAACCCAGGCATGTGCCCCTGGCTGGAATCGAACTCAGGACCCTTCAGTTCACAGGCCAATACTCTATTCACTGAGTGAAACTGGCTAGGGTCATTAAACATTTTTTATACAAGGCTTTACTGAAAATTGTTTAATACTTTCTTATTTGGACATTTGCATATTTAATTAAATATTTTCTTCCTATTTTGACTACATCAGTGAAAGGGTTACTTTTGTACAAATTTGTGCAATCCTTCCTTCCTTTAGCCAGTTTTCCCTTGCTGGTATAATAGTGATGGTAGTGGTGAAGATATGTGGCCTTGGAGACAACCATACCTGGGTTTGAATCCTGGTTCTTCTACTTAGTAATTGTGTGATCTTAGGCAAGTTCCTTAAATTTCATCTATAAAATATGAATATGTAATGCCATCTACCTTACATGATTGTTACTAAGATTAAATAAGATCATGTATATAACTCACTTATCACCATATCTGACATATAATAAGGACTCAGTAAAAGCTAGAAATTATTAATATTGCTAACAACTACAATGTCTGAATAATTTCTGGGGATCTAATGTACAGCATGGTGATTTTAGTTAATAATACTATGATATATAATTAAAAGTTTCTAAGAGAGTAGATTGTAAATATTCTCACCACAAAAAGGAAAAGGCAGTTATATGATTTGATGGAGGTGTTAACTAATGCTATGGTAGTAATCATTTGGCAAAATATAAGTATCAAATCAATACATTGTACAACTTAAGTTTACACAATGTTATTTGTCAAAACTAGAAAAAACCCCAAAAAACTTATGCTCAATAACATTTATAATTTATGTTGAAGTCAATAAACATGATCAAAATTTTAAAAAGCATTCCCTTTGAACTTCCCTATCCCTCATGCTCCATTATGTAATGATAAAGTAAGTCAAGACAATAGAGAAATAGGTATGTCAAACTAGAGCTGTACCCGTTTAAAAGCAGTATTTCAAAACCCAAATGACACGGTACTGCTTGAAATCAGGAAAGGCAAGGGAGTTTCACTAATGAAGACATTTAAATGAAACTGTCATGTCCTTTTTTGAATTTACAGAAATTCTGCGATTTGGGGCAGACTACAATGATTTGCATTAATCAGAGTATGACATGGCAATCAGAGTGAGAAAAGAAACCCTTCAAAATCTCTGGACCATGCAATCCATCACATTAATTTTCATGAGGTTTACACCATCTTGATGTTTTGAGTGGTCATCAAAGTAAGCCTATTATGTCAGAATTTACCTGAATATGATGGTACCCTGATTTGGGAACTAGCCGTTCCATCCCCTCCTTCACTAGATGCTCGAACTTCAATGATGTAGACTCCAGCATCGGGGAGAGGTACTACCGCTTGAGGTTTCTGTGTTTCAATAACTTGACTGTTGCTGTGGCCCTCTTGCCTATAAAAAACCTAGGAATGATAACAGGGTTTCAAACATAATGATATTTATGTTTTCGTTTCAAATGTTAATTGTCTACTGTATGTCACACTCTGTGCTAAGTACAAGGAGCTTATAGCTGAAATACATACATAAACAATGTGACATATGTGCTATGTGACTCAACTGGAAGTATATACAATGTGCTGGTTGCAAGCACAGTAGAATTTAATTCTGTCTGGAAGGTAGGGAAGGCTTTTCAGAGGAGGTGATGCCTGAGCTAAACATTTAAAGATGAGTCAAGCTCACCAGTTGTTCCAGGGGAGGAGAAGAATTCTAGAAAAAGGTAAGAGAAGATTAAAACATACATCTAAGCACTAAGAAACCATATTATTGGGGTATGGAATAGAGACAAGGCATATGGGAAGACTCATGAGAAATGAGGCTAGAGAAGTATGTAGCGAGGGGGCAGATCACTGGGCGTCTTTCATTCTTGGTCATTGAAAGAAATAGTACCCTGGGAGTAGTCAAAGCTGCCAACCTTTAATCATTTGGAAGAAGTAAAAATAAAATTTGATAAATATATCAACCCTTAATGTAGGAAATGGCTGAGAAGTTTAAAAATTTATTAATTTTACTTTGGTGGTTTGCTTGTTTTTTGGTGAACTGGCATTTGGATACATTGGGTAGCGAAGTTAAGCCTTTTTCAGACATTATCTATGGCATTAGAATTGAATATGTATTCATGGCAGAGTTTCATAACAACAAATTAGGATACAGAATTATACTGTTTACATATCAATATATTAAGGTCATAGAGATTATGCGATTTATACAAGCTCATGTGACTAGTTATGGTAGAAATTATATTAGTTGAGCATTCTCATGATCAGCTCAGAGCACTTTCACTATATCATATTGTTCCTACTCATTTACCCCCAATAAACCTTTTTGTGTGTGTGTCTAATAATCAAGTAGCAGCAGTGAAGTTATGTTAAAATGCATTTTTATCCAATTTCATTATTTCTGTGCTTTTTCATAATTGTTGGTATTATAATATGATTACTTTGCATAATGGAAAGATCAATAGCTTTGCAAATCATACAGATCTGGGATCAAAACAAATATCCTTCAAAAGAAAAAAAATTTCCTATGCATTTCTGTTTAGGCAAATGTGGGCAAGTTGCCAGTCTCTCTAAACCTCAAGTACCTCTACTGTAGAGATAATAACATTTATTTTTTGGCTTTGTTAAAAGAATAAAATGAGAGGGTACATATGAAATATCTAGCACAGGACCTGGTACATGGGAAATGTAATAAGATAAAGCTACTTTTGCTTCATCATTGTTCTTTGTCAATGGCCAGAATTCACATTTGCATCACAAAATATGGACTGGCTTGGGAACCTAGACAAAAATCTATAATACTGTTTTCTTATAAAAATGTGATTTTAACTCAAACTAACCTACAGACAAGAAAAAATACTTCTGTATAAATGTATATAACATGTGCAATAATTGTAGCTACTGAACTTCATATAAGGAAGGAAGCCATAGCCTTGATGTAGTTACAAAGTGATAAGAGCAATATTGAATGTTTCTCATGTGGGCCAGGCATAGTGCCATACACTGGAGATTCGCCAGAGAACAAGACAATATGGTTTCAGCCCTTACGGTACTTATAGTCTAATGCATGGTGGACATAGGTAACGATGCAATGAAGTGTATTATGTACTGCAATAGGAAACATATTTGATGGTAAAGCAAGTCATGGAGTGGGTTCTTAGTCAAGATTTGGGGAATCAGAAACACTTCTTAAATGATGCCTATAGCAGTCTCTTTTGGCTTAAAAAATGACAATTGTATCAGAATACATGCTTCTCATTTTGACTGTAGCAGTGTAATAAATTAGAATTCTGATCATCCACATGAGGTAATTAGAAAGCAAATACATGGCAATGGGAATGTATGTAAATTGGTGAGGGTTGGCAGGGGAGTGACTATATTAGAGGACACTGTTATTATGGTAGATAAATTACAATTCTTATGACAAAGAAAAATGCAACCAGTAATGCATATCTAATGTTTTTGTAAAATCCAGAGTTGAAGACAGATTTGTGGATCAGTTGAGATTTAGGAACAAAAGGGGAAAGCAGAAAAATATCAATTGATGGTAACAAAGGGAGTTTGAGAATAAATGTGGTTTTTATCAATACATCCAGGGAGATGTACTGCTGTGAGTCGGGAAGTAGGTATACTGAGTGAAAAGAGACATTAAATTCATTGTCAGTCTTAGGTGCTTTAGAGAATCTTGGCTCATTTTAAAATCCTAATTTAGAAAAGATGAATAAGAATGAGGAATATGAGAAGGTTAAGGAGTTATCAAGACATGTCTGAAATAGTTATTGACAGTAAAGAGTTCAGAGAGTACTGAAAAAATCTGGAAGTGTATAGATTGGCAGTTGCGATGACAGCTATCTTTAGGCACAAAGGAAATTGTCTAATGTATTGTCAAGACTATTCTCATTTGTTATCTAAAAAACTGAGAGCCAGTGTACCATCCATATAGAGTTTTTTAAGCAAAAAAATTAATACAGAAATGCTATTCTCAAAGGCACAATTTGGAAACAGCTAGTGTATATATCTGATGGTAACAGAATAATAGTGTGAGTATGCTTAACAATATAACAGAATACATTTTTGCTGGTTCTACCCACAAGTGCCCCTGAAAAGGATGGATCCTATTGAAGGCCTCTGCACCAGCTGAGCATTTTGGGAATAGTTAATGGAGAAAATTGCTCTTCATTATAGAGGGTGAGGATTCAGAATCCCCAGTGGCAAGGGGTGGATGATAAGGAATCAGTAAGATGAATAGAATCTGGATAAAAAGAAGTTGGAACCACAAGTACACGTGAGAAGCCACTGGCTGTAGGGTGGCTGAAAAGCACTATTAAGAACAGGATCTTGTTTGTCCATTCATAGATTGAAGGACACCAAGGTTGCATCTGTATCTTGGCTATTGTAAATTTTCCTGCAATGCACATAGGGGTGCATTTCTCTTTTCAAATTAAATGTTTTAATTTTCTTTAGATAAATACCCAAAAGTGGAATTGCTGGGTCATGGTAGACCTATTTTTAGGTTTTTGAGAAATTTCCATATTGTTTTCCATAGAGGCTACATCAAATCTTGTGATTTGCAACAACATGGATGGGCCTAGAGGGTATTATATTGAGATAAGTCAAACAGAGAAAGACAAATACCATATAGTTTCACTTATAAGTGGAATCTAAAAAAAGAAAAATCAACAGAGGTCAAATGGATGGTGGCTGGAGAGGAAGGGAGTGGGGGATTGATGAAAAAGGTGAAAGTGAATATAGTCAATAATGTTGTGATAAATTTGCATGGTAACAGGTGATTACTAGACTTGGTGTGGTGATAAAGTATATAAGTGTCAAATCATTGTATGGTACACCTGAAACACATATAATATTGTATACCAACTACATTTAAGAAATAAAGCACAGGATCTTGAATAAGTCCTGGAGAAATAATGTACAGCAGAGTGAGTGTAGTTAATAAAATAAAAAATAAAAAAGGACAAAACTTTCTGAAGGGCAATTTTCAGATGTGTATCTGTGTGGTGAGTCTTTCACTCTACAATCTCCCCCTACCAAATTTCCACGAAGTCTGATGTATATGTAACAGTATGTAAGCTACGTCTATTTTGAAATTATTTTATGATGAAAAATTTCAAGCGTACTCAAATGTAGAGACGATAGTATAAGCCATTATACCTGAGTCTTTCTAACTTATGGGAATCACAGGAAAGAGGCTGCGTCCGTATTTGGAATGAATATAAGCTGAAGGAAAGCTCTAAGATACAGGAAATCAATGAGACTAGAATAGCCATAGATTTTACACTCCCTGAGAAGCTGGAGAAATATACGAGTGGGCTTCAAAATTCCACAGGGTGTGGCCTATCAATCCAAGTGGACAGGTATCAATCCAAGTGGAAGGCCCTAACTGATGTCTGATTTGAATAAACAAACAAAAACATGTGCCTATATTGATGGATTCCTCTAGCTGGGTCAGAGCTAATTAGTTTATTCATCCATTCTAGAAGCCCTGGGGATGAAGAGACGAGTGAGACAGGGCCCTTCCCTTCAATCATATATAGCCTGGTGGGAAGATAGTCACATGTAAAAAGGAAGAGCAGCTCTAGCTGGTTTGGCTCAGTAGATAGTCAGCCTACAGACCAGAGGGTCCTGGGTTTGATTCCGGTCAAGGGCACGCATCTTGGTTGCAGGCTTCTCCCTGGCCTGGCCCCTGGTCAGGGTTCATGTAGGACAGTGGTCCTCAACCTTCCTAATGCCGTGACATTTAATACAGTTCTTCATGTTGTGGTGACCCCCAATTTCATTGTTACAAATTGAACATAATTACAGCATAGTGATTAATCACAAAAACAATATGTAATTATATATGTGTTTTCCGATGGTCTTAGGCGACCTGTGAAAGGGTCATTCGACCCCCAAAGGGGTCATGACCCACAGGTTGAGAACCGCTGGTGTAGGAGAAAACCAATCGATGTGTTTCTCTCACATCAATGTTTCTGTCTTTTCCTCTCGATTCCACTCTCCCTAAAAATCAATGGAAGAATATCCTCGGGTGAGGACTGCCAAAAAATAAAATTAAAATAAAATAAAAAGGAAGAGCAATGACAGAGACAGAAATGGCAATTGTGAACGAAGTGTAGGGTCACCTCACCTGGGACACCTATGTTCAACCTCACGTATTCTCCAGGTTAAATGGTGCTTCTCCTCTCACCTGAGAGGTGCCTGAAGCCATTTGCTTTCAGCTAGCTTTTCCTTGTGTTCTTTTTTTTTTAAAAAGAATATATTTTATTGTTTTTTTACAGAGAAGAAGGGAGAGGGATAGAGAGTTAGAAACATCGATGAGAGAGAAACATCAATCAGCTGTCTTCTACACACCTGCCACTGGGAATGTGCCCGCAACCAAGGTACATGCCCTTAGACCAGAATCGAACCCAGGACCCTTTAGTCCGTAGGCTGACGCTCTCTCCACTGAGCCAAACCGGTCAGGGCTTTTCCTTGTGTTCTATTTGCCACTCCTATTTGGGAGATTGCTTGCCATAATGCTAGTGAGGTTTTATATTGGTTCTTGGTCTATCACTCTCATTGTACTTCTACTCCTAATCATTGAAGGGTATATTTGCATTAGAGGACAAGTAGTGAGGACAGGGGGGAGGGTATGTAAAAAAGGAAACTGAGAAAAGGGTTCAGAAAATGGCTCACCTGCCCACCCCGAAAAGGTCAAATTCAATATCCTTGGGGATTATGACAGATTGGAGCGTGTACGTTTGAATGTGGGGGTGTTTGTGATCCATGCCAATTACAGTCTGTAAGAAATGCTGCAGTTTGCATCTTAAAATATTATATTCTTAATGGATATTATTTACCTTAAAAATATATTCAATTTATAACTTCTCGTTTTTTAGCTTTAGAATTTTATCACTTTGTATACAAAATGTTACCATCTCTGGTAGCTGAAAAGCCACCTAAATGAAGTTGTTCAGTCTAAATATTACCATTGAAATATTTTTTAAATCTGCTATAAATAATATTCAACTAATGATTCTGCCTGGAGTTTAAGACAATACACCGAATCTGACGTATGGACTAAAATTTGAAGCTCAGCCAATTCAATACATAGGCCACATCTATTTTAAAATCAGAGACAAAGCTGTTTTTCAAGAACAAACTATCTAAATGTTTTCAGATTTCCAGATCTCTTGCTGGCACGAAGCAGGATGGCCGTATGTGAAATGTTACATCTACTTTGGGGCTTTCTGTCTCTCTCCATGGGCTCCTTCCAACGCTGTGTGCTGGCCTAGCATTTTTTCTTCCTCTGTTGCTTTGCTAATAGAAAGTCTTTCTATCAAATAGTCATCTAGTATTTTCCATCTGCCAGCACAGTTTGTCCTTGGAGAGAGAATGCCAGGATATATTCTGCGGGTTCTGACACTGTGCTTCGTGGGACCCTCTATTCAAACTTTTGTTGTGTTTCCTACCCATTCCTTTCCCATGCCTTGTGCAGTGGGGACGAATTCTGACTGCCGTGGCTTTCTTACTGCAGGAAATTCATTCTAGGAATTAGAAGTGGAAAATGACTGAGAAAAAACTGACATGTGATGGTCTTTTTTAAAAAAATTATTTTTTATTGATTTCAGAGAGGAAGAGAGAAATAGAAACATCAATCATGAGAAAGAATCCTTGATTGGCTGCCTCCTGCACCCGCCTCCCTATTGGGGATTGAGCCTGCAACCAGGGCATGTGTCTTTAACCAGAATCGAACCCGGGACCTTCAGTCCGCAGTCCGACACTCTATCCACTGAGCCAAACCGGCTAGGGCTGTGCTGGGTCTTTTTATGGCTTATTAATGATACATCCTCACAATAACAGTGTTCGAGACCAGTGTCTACCCAAGGGAGTGAAGAAACACTGACCTTGTAGCCCATGACTTCAGATTCGTTGGCTAATGGTCTGACAGGTTCCCAGCCCAGAGAAAGCTCAGAGCCTTGCTGCTCCCATCTGAGGTTGGCAGGTGCTTGACTAGGGGCTGCAAGATAAGAAGTGAAAGAACTGACAAGGGGTCTTACATACATTTCCTCACTTAAATCCTTGCATTTCATAGTTGCTTCATAGTTGGCTGGCACCATAGGTTCCTTCCAGCTAGAGTCAGAAAGGAGGGTTTTGCTCCAGAATGGTCATTTTAATAGTTACTCTACTGAGCTTTTGAACCTGAATCCTTTTATCTCCCTTTCGTGTCAAAATCGCTTCGCCTTGTTTCACAGGAACATAACCTTTATCCACTGTGAATGCAGAAATTGCTGAGCTATTTTTGGAAGTCAGATCTGAGCAATGAACAAGACTATGTATCTAAACTCTCCGTCAACTCTGCTTATTATGTGCCTCATGTGGCTTCCAGAAATGCTAAAAGGCGTTTCCTTTTAGTCTGAAACGAACGAGAAGCGCCGGCCACTTACGGGGTTTCTTGGTGGTTGCGCTCGCTTCGCCGCTCGCTGGCCCATACCCAGCTCCGTTATAGGCCCTCACTGTGAAGTGATATAATGTGTTTCCTTCCAGTCCTGTCAGGGTGACAGATGACTCGTTCCCCTTCGTTTTGACTGTTTCTGCTGCATCTTCTTGTTCCTCGTCTTTCCGATAACTAACCTGTCAACATATTATCACATGACAGATTAATTGTAAGGTTTCCCCTCTGCTGGTGATTATTTGAACTTCAAAAAATGTTTCTCACACTCATCTGTAGGAAATTACTCCTGTATCCTTCAATTAACAGGTCCTACTAGTGAGGCTAAAATCACAGTCTTAGTCAGGGCCCAATCTGCATCTGTGTGCATTGTCCATTTGCATCTGTGCTGAGCAGTACTCAGCAAAACAAGGAGAGGTGCTGCCGTGTAGCCTGGTAGCACGAAGAACATTAAGGAAGAATCACTGAAAGAAACGGAAGTGCTCTTCTCTCCTAGGTCATCAGAACCATTTATCCTTCAAAACCCTGGTGCTTTGAATGAATTATTTGAGAAAGAAGAATGAAGAATATTTCCTCCTGGGCCTGGAATAAAGGTGAATCACACAAGCTGTATGGGTTTAATAGAGAAGAGGTGACAGAAACTCATGATAACGTGGAGTGGTCTAAATGTCGAGAATGCATATCGTTAGATTATGGGAAGGTGGGAGAGAGGAAGAGCTGTTTGTCAAAGCACATTTTGTGCATTGAGATGATCTGTTCTGGTTATGAACTCATGGGGCTCATCCCGTACCAAACTTGGTCTCTCCATGAGATTCAGTAATTGCCTCTGTGTATCTAAAGCTTAACTTTTTCAGGCACTAAACTTTATGCATAAGTGCACAGGGGAACAATCCCCCCCCCCGCCCCCCCGCAACCAGTATGTATTTATTGTGGTAAAGGTAATGGGAAAGTTATTACCTTTCCCCAGTTAGTTACTGTGGTAAAAGAAGTGGACACTGCACCCATGTCATCCTCCCTCAAGTGCTTGGTATACTGTACAGGCTAGAAAGCCACACATCACATTTTTCAGATTCTCTTCCAGCTAAGGCTGCTGCTGTACACTGTGGGCAGCGAGTAGTTTGGCTGAACTGTTCTGGAACATACCTAGGACTGCTATTTCCGGTTGTGGCTATGGGAAGTCATTATCAGATCTTACCTCTCAGAAAAAAGTAATATTGCATCACCACACTCTATTAAAGGCCTCTACCAGCCTTGATGCTGACTGAAGGCAAAGGGAGTAGAAATGGGTAGAGAAGGAAGGACGTTATAAACTGTAACTGCAGTTTTAGGAAATGAAGACTATAATAGCCATACTTTCTTCCTTGTAATGTTTTTGTATATAAGTATTAAATAACTCAAGCCCCTTCTTTTCTTCTAATATTTTTATATGGGGTAGGTAACGTTCTAATGTACTTCATTCGAGGAGGAATAAACCTTCACCCTGAGATGGACAGATTGACTGGTAGAAATTTCTCTGGCTTTCCTTTCCAGGGAGGTGGTGAGTACATTTTCACTTGTATGAGATATATGCACTATGTCAGTATGGAACATCATCACTGCTCATTGTTGTTCTAGGGCAGTGGTCGGCAAACTGCAGCTCGGTAAACCGTGGCTCGCGAGCCACATGCGGCTCTTTGGCCCCTTCAGTGTGGCTCTTCCACAAAATACTGGCTCTTCCACAAAAACCGACTTCTGCACGTGGGCCACGAAGTTTCAATCGCACTGTACGTGCATGCCCGCACGTGGTATTTTGTGGAAGAGCCACACTGAAGTGGCCAAAGAGCCGCATGTGGCTCGCGAGCCGTGGTTTGCCGACCATGGCTCTAGGGGAGTTGTTGAATTGGGAAAAATCATGTGCATGGATACTGAATAACCAAAGGGATATGGTATGTTTGCATTCAACATCCATTTTACCTTGATGTTAGTGTGTCTTCTTGGACTAAAGAAGATGAAGAAACAAAAACATTTTTCTAAGAGTCCCTTGCAGTTAGAAATCTCATCATGTTTTAGGTTCAGCCAGTCAGATGCACATGCCTGAGATCTGAATGTAGAAGAAACATGGAGGCTAAACGTCCATGGCTTCTGCTTTTCTGCAGGCAAGCATAGTAATGGGGTCATTATTTTTCCTCTTTCCCGCTGATGGGACAGCACTAACGAATGACTTGCTGTCTAACCATTAGCTTGATGGGAGCCAAGAAGCAGGGCAGAAGACATCCATTTTGTTGGTGCAAATTGCAGCGAGCCTGGTGAGATTCTGGAGCTGACAAACATAGCGGAGGCCTCCAGGTTACAGTAGCTTCCTGAGTGTGGTGCCATCCTGACCACGGTGGCTTCCAAACCGTGGCAGTGGCCTGAGTTTCTGGGGCTGGTGGCTTTCTGCTCTCAGAAGATATCAGTGTCTTCCTCTATGGCTTGATCCCATTGTGTGACTTTAATAGTCATTCTTGAAAGATCACCCTAGAGCAGTGATGGCGAACCTATGACACGCGTGTCAGAGGTGACACACGAACTCATTTTTTTGGTTGATTTTTCTTTGTTAAATGGCGTTTAAATATATAAAATAAATATCAAAAATATAAATCTTTGTTTTACTATGGTTGCAAATTTCAAAAAATTTCTATATGTGACACGGCACCAGTGTTAAGTTAGGGTTTTTCAAAATGCTGACACGCCGAGCTCAAAAGGTTCGCCATCACTGCCCTAGAGTGTGTTAATTTAACTCAGTAATGTTGTAAGCCATTCAATACCTATAATACAACATTTCTTACTTAAATTAGTTGAAGCAATTCAGTTCTTTGTAACTGAACCCTCATACATCTGCACAGATCTGTAATTTACATATATATTTTTTAAAAAGCTTGATATGATAGCCCTGGCTGGTGTTGCTCAGTGGTTAGAGTGTTGGCCCATGCAAAGAAGGGTCTCAGGCACTGAATTCTGCCTGTTGACTCACTTAGAGCCTGCCTCACACAACTTATATACTGCCAGAGGTTCTTTCAGTGCCTAAGCCTAACAGAAAGCTGGTAGGTGGAGGCAAATCTTAAGGTACCTTAGGCCTTTTACTGACCTGCCCCGGGCTCAGTGCTGATGAGAGCTGGCCTTAGTATGCAGTTAGGAACATCCTTCCCATGAGTTCCTGAGCCCAGCAGAGGCAGCCACCAACCATGGATTGCTTTGTAGCTCCTAACAGGTAGCCCAGGGCAAGTCACAGGAAGCATCTGGCATTAACCTGCACCAGAATTCCTCCCAAGAGGCCCAGAAACAACACATACCCAGGACTTCAGATCACATCATAGTACAACCCAGTTAGCTCCACAAATGACACACAAAAAGGGAGACCTTGGCAGGCACCAAACACTGCTAGGGCAAATTCTGCTTTGTAGGGTCAGCCCCTGTACAGCAGCTGGTACACTGTGGTTGGGGTCAATCTGATAGTCAGTTAGCCTGAGAATTAATCCTACCCATGGATGGGCCAACAGCAATCAAGACTCAACTACAAGAAGAGGGCTCACAAAACGCACACAAGGGACACTCATGGTACACCTAATTCATCTGATCAGAAAGAGTACCACTGAGCACCACAGAATACCTACTACATAAAGACCACACTACCAGGACTGGGAGACTTAGCAGATCAACCTAATATACTGAAACAAATACAGCGAGGCATCCAAAATGGGAAGACAAAGAAACATGCCCCAGAGAAAGGACAGAGGAAAGCCCAAGCAAAAGAACTAAATAAAATGGAGGCAAGCAATCTACCAAATATAGAGTTCAAAGCAATGCTTATAAGGATTCTCATGGAGCTTAAGGGAAGAATGGATGAATTCAGTAAGAACTTCAACAAAGAGACAGTAAGTATACAAAAAAGAACATAGATCCCTGGCTAGTGTGGCTCAGTTGGTTGGAGTGTTGTCCTATACACCTAAAGGTCATGGGTTTGATTCCTGGTCAGGGCACATACCCAAGTTATGGCTTTGATCCCAGGTTGGGGTGCATATGGGAGGCAACTGATAAATGTATCTCTCTTACATTGATGTTTCTCTCTCTCTCTCTCTCTCTCTCTCTCTCTCTTTGCCTCTCTCATTCTCTGTCTCAAAAACAAAACAAAAACAAACAAACAAAAACCCCCCAAAATCCACAGCAATAAGCACATATCTTCTGTTGAGGATTTAAAAGAAAAGGACATAAAAACAAACAACAACAACAACAACAACAAAGAATGAGTCAGAAATGAAGAATACAGTATTTAAATGAAGAAAACTCTAGAAGAAATCTATAGCAGATTAGATGAAGCAAAGAATCGAATCAGCAACTTGCAAGACACGGTAGCCAAAAACACCTACTCAAATCAGCAAAAGGGAAAAGGAATTAAAAGACGAGGATAGTTTAAGGAACCTCTGGGACAACATGAAGTGTAACAACATCCACATTATAGGGATATCAGAAAGAGAAGAAAGAGAGAGAGATTGAGAATCCATTTGAAGAAATAATCACTGGAAATGTTCTAATCTGGTGAAGAAAAAAGACAAATAAGTCCAGGAAATGTAGAGTTCCAAACAAGATGAACCCAAAAAGACTCACACTTAGATAAATCATAATTAAACTGACAAAAGTAAAAGATATAGAGAGACTCTTAAAAGCAGCAAGAGAGAGTTAGTTATTGACAAGAGAGCTCCCATAAGACTGTCAACTGATTTCTCAACAGAAACATTTCAGGCCAGTGGGATTGGCACAAAATATTAAAAATAATGAAAAAGAAGGACCTATAGCTAAGACTACTCTACCCTCCAAAGTTGAAGGAGAAATAAAAAATTTCTAGGCAATCAAAGCTAAAGACATTCATCATCACTAAACCAGTATGACAAGAAATGTTAAGGGGGCTTGTTTAAAAGAAGAAAGAAAAAAAGGAAAATAAATATGAATAATAAAATAATAATAAATATGTATCAATAATCACTTTAAAAGTAAATGAATTAAATGTTTCAGTCAAAAAGACATAAGGTAGCTGAGTGGATAAGAAAACAAGACCCATATATATGCTGTCTACAAGACTCACTTCAGTTTGAAAGGGGCACATACAGACAGACTAAAAGTAAAGGGATAGAAATAGATATTTAATGCAAATGGATTACAAAAAAAG